CCTAACCTAACACGCGTTTGATTTTTTTTCGGTCGCCCCTAGTCGACGGTATCTTCACTTTCTGCGATAAAAACGGAACAGAAGAAGCGATTTCGGACCTTTTATATAATATTAGGACTGTAGTCAATTTTGGTACGATAAAAAAAGATAGTTTGGAAAGTTTATTAGGTAGTTTTTGTTTTTTTATACTCACAGTCGTTTCGCGAAAATGTCGCTGTCGGTTTTTCTCAATTATTTTGAATACCCTTAGAAAAAACAAACAATGACCTCTCCAATGCACTAACTAGGTAAAATTTCCTTTCAGACAAGATGCTTTACAGGATATATCGAAGCGAGTTTTCTTTTCGAAAAGTTGTTTACAGACAGAAAAAAAAAACACACACACAACATCATAGTAAAACAAATAGATCCCCGGCTACTATATTTACGTACGTTATTAGTCAATAACTATTCGAATTATTTGTTTAAAAATAATAAAAGAGTTTTTAACGTAATAATATTCTATAAATCATTTTTTATTATGATTATTATTTTTTTAATAATCATATGATAATACGAGTATTGTATTACATCAATTAGGCATTTTAAATAAATCGCCACGATAAAATTGGATACAATTTTGTTTTCTGGGAGAGTGAGGACAGGTTGATCGTAATATAGTACGACTATCATTAATTATTATTCGTTTACAGAGGAGTCGATTGGAATTCCAGTAGTCAATAATATTTTGACCATCAAAAATTACTACGATTTACAATACTAGCAAACGAAAGAGTGTTTATTGATTCTCCGCTCGGAATCTTTTTTTATTTACAATGTATACACCAAGTTTTAACACTGTATATTCAAACAAATGAAAAATATTCAACGATGCAAGATTATTATATTAAATTTTAATACGTAAATTACCGAGACGATTAAAAATAACTTTTGTGAGAGCTCTTACGGATTTAATAATAAAAAAAAAATGTAATCGTTAAAGATAATAGATATTTAGATTTTATCTTGACGATAGTATTTTGTTAATTGAAATATCTTTTGGATAATTATGTCCGGGCTATTCCGACACAGGACACAGAACAGTGTAAAATATCGTCCAAACTTAATATTTTATTTTATAATTTTAATGATGTTGACGTATCAGCAGCCATTTCGTACGAAAAATTGAAACGATTTTTGCCTGTTCTCGGATACTTCGCAATTTCCCACCCAAAGAGTATACAGTGTTTCCCGTTTTTTTTACGTACCACAGAACACTTCAACCCAATGACCTTAGATTGAATTGGAGTTTCGGGAGTTGATGGAAAGTACCAATATACACACTTGACATAATTTTCAGTTTTTAACACTTACAGTGCAATATGGGTATGTGCAATTAAAATTACTTTTTTTTGAAAAGATAGCAATGTTTATTTGTATTACTCGATAAAAATAGATAATTTTTTAAACAACATTTTTTTAAATTATCCATGATCCTAAACCTAAAATGAACTGGGTTACAGCTTTTTGAAAATTAAAAATAATTGGATTTTTAATTTTTAATATAAACGTTTTGAGCAAAATAAATTTGGAAATGTCGAAAATTTCATATGATAAAAAACCTAAACATAAATAATAAAAATATGTTACAAAGTAATTATCATTTTATTTCATAATGGAAATTTTCAAATCCTCGAATAAATCACTCGATACATAAGTGTGTTGTTATCAAATTTTAAAAAGCTGCAACTCTGTCAATTTTAGGTTTAGGACCATAGTCAATGGATCAAAATGGCTTATAAAAATCCGTATATTACCATATAAGTTGGAAAAAAAAGGGTCGTCGTTCAATAAAAGTAATTTTAACTGCGTGTGCGCTCCTTGAAAGGGGAAAATCTGAAAATTATCTTCAAACGTGTATTTCAGAACTTACCATCACCTCTTGAAAATCCTATTTCTATGTAAGGTCATCAGGCTGGGATATTCAATGGTACATAAAATACGGGAGACACCGTAATCCCGAACCACTATAACAATCTCGGGATTTCGGAACCAATCCCGAGATTATAATTTAAAAATTGGTTTGTTTTGTTATCATATTATATATTTTTGAGTAACTTTTTAACAATTAAATATTTAATGATTAGGATATAATTTATTACGGGGAATAAACAAATGAATAACAAATAAAGTAGTTTATTTTAACTTAAAAATGTATGACCAAAAAAAAAAAAATGTCGGGTGTTCTACGGATGTTTTAGGAAGAATTTCGGTAGTAATAATAAATATATTGATTCGATTTATGCATATCTATACGCGACGATAGAATATTACTAACGAAAATTGATTCTGAGCAGATTGTTAACTGTAGTATTATTTTCGTTGACGTCGAGGTAACAAAAATTATACAACGGATTGTCAGTTTTTCCCGTTTACCTATCCTGACTATCCGGAAGATCCAGGAAATTCGTGACAAAAAAAAAAAAATAAAAAATAAATATCGACCGGGGATTCCGGGATTGTATTCTCGACGCGCGAACGCGAATGTTTTATCGACACGGACCTATCCGTTCTAAGTAATACCACGCGACCAGTGTCACAAATGAGATTCATTTTCGGCCGTTGAGGGATTATGGATGTCCAACGAGTTTCCCGGACGGGTTCCGGGATAGTAAATAACCGAACGGATGACCCGCGCACGGTAGCGACGTATACGCATTCGAAATTACAAGAAAATGTCCGAAACTGCAATAATAATTATTTATAGGTAATAGTTTATTGCTGTTATTATTGCGCGTAACCTCAATTTTTTTTTTGTTCTGCGTGTGATGGGATTGCATTCGATGTACGTCCCGCCCCGGTTGTGCTTCGATCGCAGGCGTATTTATTCGGGGATTGCCGGAGGGGTCCGAAAAATCAACGGGTTATATAGACGATCGCACATACATACGGATAAACGGGCAATTGAACACCTACGTATTCAATCGTGTAGTGTTTTGAGCCGGTGTACCCGTAGCCGTTTATACTCATATTTACAGATCCAATAGGCCGTGCGGTAAATCGCGATTTACCATAAAATATCAACTATAATGCCGTGCGTGGCGCGAACGAGGAAAATCATCCGTACACAAACCGTTTCGGATTCGAGTTACGAATAAAATTCCGGTGGTCGATTCCGCGATGATTTTCCGGTTTAAATTCAAAACAATAAACGCGCCGTTGACCGATGATACCGCGTGGTGAACAGACGCACAGCGACCGGTGGGAGCCGAGGTACTGCGTACGTTCGTCTGTCCGGTTGTTCAATCGCTCTCCCTCTCACCCACTCACTCTTTCGCACTCTGTATTACGCACCTCCTGGTTGTTTTTTACAAACTACAATTGTTATGATAAAACACACGTAGAAAAAAAAAAAACAAAAAACAAAAACGTAATAACAAAAAAAAAAAAAAAACTTATATTAATTATATTTTTACATATTGTATAATACTATATTATACGGATATTAAAAAAAACCCATTTAACTTTGAAACGCGTATCGCCAAACAATTATACACAATATAATATTATTTTAATATTTTCGAATAATTATAATTGTTTTTATGATTATATAGGTGGGTACCCACCTACGTTTGACGAAAACGTTTCCGGTTCAAATATAAAATTAAATTATAATGATAATAAACACCGGTGAGCAGCCGAGCTACCTACCGTCCGTGGAATTTTCCCTAGACTATTTTGTAATGTATTCTCTGTAAAACAATAAATCGCCGAATACTATTTAATAACACACAAACCATATAATATGTTAGTTGGTTTCAACTATGTAACTTCCAAAAAAAGTTGTTTTTTTTTTATGGTAAAATTTGAGAATATTTATGGAAAACCAGATATTGAAGTCATTCATCAACATAACTATATCCTCCAACTACATTCGGGAACGACTTATAACAAACGAAATTCGCAAAAAATCGCATCCTCATTAAACCAAATAAAAACTTGAAAAACTGGATAATTTCATTTGGTTATAATTGCCTAAAAAATTACAGGAGTTTTTTTTCAAAATATCGCCACACCTAAAAATGGATAATATCACGTACGTGAAAATGTCAAGGTTCTACGATTGATTTAAATCGAGTTACAAAAAAATAACAATATCGAGAATACTGAGGTAGTACGTTTTCCCACTTTTCCCCCCGTTATTCCTAGATTACAACTTAAACAACTAAAAAATCATAAAATTATCTTTCAAATATACGAATTATTTAAAATTCGCTTTCAGAAAAGATTTTGTACCAAGTCTTGATAGTCATAGTATGATGTGAATACAAAAAAATCATATCATAGTAAAACCAATACATTTCTAGCTGGGCACATAATCTAGAAAATAATACGAATTTTTGGACATTTGTTTAAGTTTTCCTATTTTTATAGAGCGGGAAATTTTGAAATTTTAACTATTTTCGCACTCCCTTCCACATGGACTTCAATTATAACCGCAAGTGCCTGTATACAGACGCATCCTATAATTCGATACGCCATGTTTCGCCATGTCCTTTTGCATGACTCTTAGAAATATTATTTTCCAAGGAAACATTTTAAAATAAATACAAACATCATAACCATTGTGCAACATCTTCTAAAAACACGACCGTTGTAAAATCTAATCGGATGAGATTATTTTTTTTCTCACCGCTCGCCGTGGTATTCTTTTGTCTTGTGTGACTGGAACAAATCGAATTTGGTTGGTTTCCGTTGGCAATGTGGACGCGCGGAATGGGGGAGTCAGAGGGAACCACCTGGAGAAAAAGTCAACACTGATTTTTTTTCCCAACTTGGCCGCTCGTCTCCTCCATCGGACGGGGTAATGTAAAAAAATGCACTCCCGGACACGTTCGTATGCGCATCGTCGTATATTGACACCTGAAGGACGTCCGAGTTCACATGAGCGCAATGTACACGATCACGGAATAATATAAAACCCCATGTCTCCCGTACGAAATAACTCAAACACAATTCATCTTTCGTCGCCACCACTGAATTCCTGCTGCGGTTTCTTTATCCGTACGGACAACGAGAAGACCCGACGAGAAGAGAAAATGAGCCCCTCTCCGTTAACCGTGGTAAGTCGACTTTTGCAAATAATACCGTAAGATTTGGCAAGTTTCAAAAATTTGCATCTTCTTCTCTACCGCTGTTTTCATATCACGCGTGTGCTTGTGTCTAAATAAACTATTTGGCTTTATACGGTCTTCAGGACCGTTCCGCAGACGCAAAGCCGATTATTTATCACCAGAATAGTCTGATTTGATCCATTTCTCTATCGGGTTTCTGTTTCATCACTGTCTGTACTTGGGCCACCCCGTAGATATGACGCCAATATTCGTTTGTCTCCAAACTTTATCATTCTGACTTAGCTCTCCGATTTTCCACATTGCCCCATACCCATCGTCGATCATTAATTTTGTTCATTTTTAAACATTCTCACAGAGAAAAAATAGTAAAAAGTAAAAAATTTTCTCATAAACCGAAACAAACATTGTGTTATAACAAACGTCATCGAGTACCAAATTTGTTTTTATTTCCGACAAATTGTACCCAAAAGCAGAGAGAGTCAACGTATTGGGTATCTTACATATTATATGTATACCTTATTTCTGCTACTTTTGGACACTTTTAGCGGATTCTTCTAGACCAAATGATACGATTTCGTGTGAATTTCAAAATTAACTTTACCACATGGGAAGGAGATTGTTTTTTCAATCTTTTTACACCGCCTCATTTGAAACTGGAGGGGCGTGTTTTGGGAGTTCAAATTAAAACGCGCGATATTCACGTTTTCACGGAAAATACCGAATTTCAATCATTTCTCTACAGACTAAAAAATTTAGGTAATACAACTGAAAAAAACTATACATAACTGTCGGATCGTTTGAGTATGAAAAAAAATAAAAAAATAATATTCATAACAGTCTTAATGAAATATCTTAATGACGAAAAATCCACCGGGGTGAAAATTCGATTCCGAGTGACGGAGCTTTACTGCTCGCGGGTGTTTTTTCTTTTAATTTCGAATGACCGTAATTGTGCGACTCGAATCGTTTGAGGAGGAGCTTTATAAATATATATATATAAAAAACAAAATTGATACTCTTTCCCCGTGATCGAATCCGAGGTGGGGGAGGGGGTTCGTAAACGTCCGGCGGGCCGGCGGGCAAGCTCGACGAAAATGACGATAATGCGGGGCGGGAAAAGGATGGCGAAAAGACTCCCGTGCACGGGTAGGACGGCGATGACGAACGGGCGCCGTCTCGAGTAAAAAATATCCCGTCCGGGCGCACTCCGCCGGCCGTAACACGACGATAACGCAATAATAACACTACAGGTAAAAGGTCGTCGACTTTTGCGTCGTCGTCGAGGAAAAAAGGTAAAAAGGGGAAAAAAATAAAAAACGGGGTTGTGTATATTTTCGTACGACGACGGCGGACGACGCACGTCCGAAGCGGAGGAGGCGATATGATGCAATTCGTGCATTATAACCCGGGCAATTTGTAAGAGTTACTGCCGTGTTATATGTTACGATATATCATGTACCTGCTATGTGTCCCATCTCGTAGCCCCGCAGTGAGAAATCGCACCGCGAACAATGGGATATAATATTATAATAACGTATTTTTATAAAGGCCGAGCAGCGGCGAAATCTGCATCGGAATTGACCCCGTGCCTCCGCCGCGATGCGACGACGTCCGTCATACTCGTATTATTTTTTTTATTATTGTTGATATGATTTCTTCTGGCGGGTATAATTTTACTCGTCTCGGCAGACGTACGCGACGTGTCTCCGCGTAAGAACGAGTTTTTCTTATCGATGATCATTGTTTTTTTTTGCCTCGATACCGCGTCGACGAGTCGCTGAAATATTCTCGATTGACGTTTCGCGCGCGTTAACACAAGTCTACGGTTTTAAAACGACGTTTTTTTTTTTTCTTTCTATGGTCAAATTTTCTACCGGCAGTTTTGCTCCGATTTTCAACGGTAGCACATTTTCTGAAATGAAATCTGATCGGAACGGTATATTTTGACTTCCCCAGAAGCGGTAAATGGGAAAAAACGAGAAAAAATAGGTACAATATTAATCGAATATTATAAAAGAAATTGTGTAACTATCTTACCAAAATATGACATAATTATATATATTATTGACGAAGCAACACTATCAACCGAACTCCGCTGTGAATCGATTTTTCGTTAACAATGGTTAACCGTTGCCTGCAAACATACACTCGATTCCCGTCTATATCCTATATTCCCGACTACCCACCGACAACAGTGGCTGCGACCGTCTGCATCATACTAGTGTATATCTTTTGAAAATGATTTCGTCCCGATTAATTTCATCCAATAACAGAGTTATTGACGAAACGGAATACAACGCTTACGCACGATGTTTCAAGTTCAGTCCGTCTTTTTATTTCAAAGGTTGTCTCGGGCCTTACGTTATTTGCACAGGGTTTACTCCGCTGTTAAAGCACGGTAGACGTGGGTCAAAACGCACGAGACGTGCGCCAGTCCAAAAGTCGGACCGTCTGTAAACGTTGCGCGAATAAACGACTTACGCCGTTTTTCGTGAACTTCAGAAAATTAATGATATTATTACGGCTATTTTCCTCTGAATCGTCTAGTTTTCGTTTCGCCCTCGTCTTTATTGTTTCCACGGGTCAACTACCGTTTTAGTATTCCTGTATGTATAAAACGTCTCCCGGACGCCGTGTCTCCGTTCATTATCATATAATATACCTGGGGGGGCATCTATACGTGTTACGTATAAATAAACTTCGACGTCAGCGTAGTTAGTTGGAGGCGAACAAAGTATTCGGAATAACCTATATAATACTGACTGTCCCACCCGTGCGCATTTATTTATTCATTTATTGTTATTGCTATTTTTTTCACTCATATTTTTTTTTTTTTTGGTTTTGACCGTGTTAGTATTTTAAATGAAAACAAATAGTCAGTGCATCGACAATTTAAAATAACATTATTTTCAAAAAAAAAAAAAAAAAATGCCTAGGTGCTAGTCAAAAAATCGCTTTCCCGAAGGCTTACACAACCAGATTGAAAATTCTACCGGAAACTTCTCTTGGGTATGTTTTGCGACTGGATTTTATGCGATCATCATCTCGTGCTAAAGATAAACCGGTATTGCAATTGTCATAGTCCTTAGGTTTCAAATTGAAAACGATTTTATTTTAAAATACGTTGTGAGATAAAATCGAGATTTCGCACGGTAAGTACCACCGAACCGTACGGCTAATTTGCTATTTACCTATTCAAGTTGAGTGGTCAGAAATAATTCTTATAAGAATATTTTTGAATATAATTGTTGTTGATTTCCTGGCTGCCTATAGATAACAACGAAACAATATGATTAATTATACTCCGCGCAGAATTGTTTATCGTTTTTTGTTGTGAACAAAATATAAATTGAATTAATCTATAAACCCTCAATTTTAACTTTCCTCCCTGAACCAATGTACACCAGTTAGCAGTATTAGGCTTGTTTTTTTTTTTTTCTATCGACAGTACGCCTACCACAGGATCACCATTAAATATTAATGGGTGACCGTCGTTAATTTTAAATCGATCTCTTTAAAATTATAATTCCAAAGACGGGTCCAACAGTCTTATATTGGCCGTTCAGCCAACAAAGTACTTATTTAATACACATTTCGGAAATTCTTGCTTCTGGTTCTCGACACGGTGAAGGGGAGGTAGGGTACAGTTACCTAATATTATAGCGATACGGTACGGTGACAATAAAAGAAACAATGCAGTTTACATACTGGACCTAAAGGTGGTCTGGTGCCGGTCTGCACAAAGTAATAATAAAGTTTACTCTAATGTCGTTTTGTAACGATTTCAGGACGTTCCGTACCCGACGTGAAATCGCATACGTGAACGTTTCTGCGCCCAAAATAATTTACCGGACTATTTTCAATGGAATCGAGTCGGTCAGAGTGATCCGTTTTTACCGCGAACCAGCGATTTTCTTGAACGTTTTGAAATGAATTCGATTGATCTATACAAATCAGAATCCGTATTTAAAGGGGGTGGGGTGAGGGGAATCTTTTTTTGAAAATAAAAGTATATACTCGTTTAATATATAAAAGGTTGGGGTGAAAAATTGAAATTGGCGTTATAGTATGAAGTTTAACGATTACATATATAAAGATTGAAACAACAAAAATTGTACTCCTGGAAACTGTTTGATTCGTAATGAACATCTGTGTTTATTCACTCTGTGTTATTAATATATTTGTAACAGATTTTATATCGATAAATAGTACACAAAATGTGTCTTAAAGTTTCACTTATGCACTATAGTCTATAACGAATTTGGTTTCACTTGATTAGGTATGAAAATGCTCTCTGCGCGATTGTGTTCCACTTGAAATCGTAATAAAACTAAGATGATATTTATTTGGACGAGATACTTGCAGTACAAAACAACGTGATAAAATGTATGAAAATGTCAAATTTGAGCCTAAAAGTGTAAGGCTGTGAAACATTATTACAATAGATTACTGAGGAGAAAACGAAACAAGAGGTTTTTTTTTTTTTTAAATGCTGTGTTATTGAAAAATGTTTAAAGTTAAATAGTTAGGAAGAATACGAAACGAAAGACTACTGAACTGCAAAATAAAGGAAAGCCGAGAACTTCGGCTCAGTATAAAAGTCGGAAGGGACAAAACGATAGGGCATTAGGGTATCTACTGCGATAAATTGATGAAATCCGTCTTATAAGGATACTTTTTATAACATATGGAGAGGGGAAGGCCAAGGGACGGAGTGCATGAAACAAGTCGTGGTCGTACATAAGTAAAGAGTTGGAGGAATTGAGTTATGAAATGGAAGCGATTGCAGTAGACCAATCAAACGATTGGTAACGCGATAAAATAGTGAAAATATGCGTATACGAGAATAATAAAACATATGGCAAATTTCAACAATGTAATCGTAGAGTAAAATCTGCGATAAAAGCTCTAAAAAAAAAAAAAAAAATGTCAAAATACGATTAAATTAAACGCGAAAATTTATTATTTTAAATTTCGCCATTTCTTACCGCGAAACGAGCTTTCAGTGATCTTTATAATAGTTTCTAAACCATAAAACGTCTTAATGTCTTCGAAAAAAAAAAAAAGAAGTGAAATGCGAATCCGTTTCTCGCGTTACCGCCGCAGATAATAAACTTACGCACTTATCTATTTCGGTAAACCGTATCCCGCGATCAAATCGTTATTACTGTAAAGGTACGCGCGCATTTCCTCGATTATGTATTTTTAAGACACGACCTTGTCTTTTTACGGTATATAGAATATTAAACCGTGATATTATTAAAATATTTCATTTTCGCATTGCTCTTCTGACTGTACGCGTAACCGCGCGATACCGCAGGTCGTAAAACCCCGGGAACGTAAAAAATATACGCATATTATATACTAAACGATTTACGATATTATTGTATTATGAATAAATATCGTTTTTTTATTATTCATTTATATTTTGCTCTATTATTATTTTTCTTTCCTATCTACAAGATTTCACACACGTCGGCGGTCAAAGATAATAATATTACGGTCACGCGACTTATACCGACAACTACCAGACCGCCGTAAACGATGAAATATATATTACTTTTTTTTTTTATTTAAGTAGTAAACATAAAAAACGCCGTGAAATTATTCACGATGCGTAAAATATATGTATATATATATATATATATATATATAAAAAAAAAAAAAATCTCCTCTAGAAGAATATCCTTATTGTATCCTTGAGGTTTCAAAAAATCGCACACTAAAAATTATTTGATATTTCATTTCACGGGAAAAGCTATTGGACTTGCCGTTGTCCGTCGCAATTTCGAGTCACGCGTATTTTTAATTTGTTTTTTTTTTTTTTTATTTAAAACTGACAGACAAAAAAAAAAATTATCTGATACTACTGATTGGTCATGGGTCGGCCAGTGTGCCACTGTTGTCGGTTGAAATTCAGGAAAGTGTATAAACCTATTCGATTTATATCTGTACTCAATATGTATAATGTAATGTTTCTGATAAAGTACTATTCTGAGCGAAACTCGGTTAATCACGTTCTGGAATGTTGGATATTAATGATTTTATCAAAGTTTTTCAAAGTTTGAACTCTCGAAATAAACACTTATAAAACTACTATTACTAAGTACAATTTATGACCAATTTCGTATGGCATTAGTCTCGACTAAAAGAATTTAATACCAAAATAAACTAAAAAAAATTATCTTTATAAATACCAGAAGATATCAATATAAGAATTCAAGGAATATCACGAATTTATACGATTATTTTTGACGAAACTACAAAAATATCCAAATAAATGTAAAAAGTTCCAGATTTCCAGTGTAACTCTCCGTCTCTCCTTGTAATATCTTCGTCTGTGTCCTCCCTCACGTTTCTTTCCTTCATGGTTCACTTCCATTCCCATTTTTCCGTTGTAGTTTTCAAGTAGATTTCTATCGTCTCTACGACTTTGCAATTTTCAATTAATTTATTGACGCGTTGCAAAAAGCGGGTATTATTTAATTTAAATTTTCGACGCTCATACGCCACTTTTTTGATAGGTTTGACTGTGATACCGTCGCCTAATAAAAAAATTTTTTTTATACTATTGGCGTCTATAGTCTCTGAAATTCTCCCTTTGGGTCATGCTTTAGAGCCTACATATTTTGAGTACATTTTTATTTTTATATTAAGTTTAAAAATTCGATTGTAAGCTATATAAAACGGTCACATTGAAGTACCACCAGTTTGTTCAGATAATATAGTCAAGTTTCCCGCCCTTACACGACAATATTATATACATTTTCCTTTATACTTCAAGTGTCGATTGTACCCATAAATCCTGTGGAAGCCATTTCAACGCACTTTGCTTTGTTTTCCAATGCTTGTTGCGCGATGTCGTTTTGTTACAAGTTCGTTTCATGTATTTTTGAATACGAATATGACACATTTTGCTTTTGCATTTTTTTTTTTTTTTTAATCTAAACAAATTTTTTATTTAGATATTATTTTCGAGTTAATTTTATAGGTTCAATATTTTTTAAATTTCTGGGCCGCAAAAAATATGTTTTTGTTCATAAGGGCATTTTTACAACGCATTACATTTCGAGTCATGATAATTCATACACTATAATTATTATTATTTTTATTCTTTTGCGAGATAATTGGCCCCGCTAAGCAGCTCGTGCGAGGGTCCATGGTAATCTTATCATTTACAATAATAAATAATAATTATACCGCGATTATTATAGTATTTCTGGTACTAGAGCGCTAAATATCTTAGCTTTCTGATAACTGCGGTTACATTGTACGTATAGCTATGATATATATCATTAGAGATATTGCTATCTTTTGTTTTTATTCGGAGCCTTTTTAAAAAAAAACCGTATAAATCCTGCGGTAAATCGCGTTGGAAAATTAATCTACACCCCCCCCCCCTCCTACCATTTGTAAACATTATAATATTATTATTAATAACAATACTGAACCGCCATTGTTGTACGGAGTAACATAATATAATCCTAGCGAACGCGTAATCAGATACAATTTTCAAGCATATTATTATCACTGTGTTCACACCAGCTGCAAACGCACATGTTCCGCGAAAAATACAACGCACAACGCGCGGTGACTTAATAGTTATAAATTGGTCTGTGTTCGCGCGCTTGCGTGTAATTTTAATAATACGTTTTTTAGAAGGTGCCCGTGCTCGAGTTTAACTGTCTGCATATTGTGTACTCGTCTAACATTTACTCGAACAACTTTACCCGCGGTATACGTTTTCATACTCGCCTGTAATAAATAATAATATACTACAATGTATTATATTATCGTTTTTCGTGTCGGAAACCCTAACGTTATTTTTTTTCCGTGTTACAGATCCGTCGCCTTTTTTAAATTACAACAAACACTTACTTTATGGAATTTACAAATATGAAATTATAGGGAAATAAACGGAAATAATGGCCCACTGTTGTAGGTGAGAAGTTGGGAAGGTAGCGGGGAAATTTAATAATGTAGTTCTCTGCACGACGATTTACCATCGCGCACGAAAAACGATTCTGAACGGAGTTCGGTTAATAGTGATACTTTGTCAACAATATAATTTATGTAATATAGCTATTATAGTACAATAATAACATATTCATTGTACATTTTTTTTTTTTTTTTTATAATATTTGTTTAATATTTTACCTATTTTCCCGTTTATTCCCGGGTTTTCCTATTTATTGTGAAGCTGGGAAAATCAAAAATTGATCTCCCAAAAGTACTGTCCCAGTTAAATTTCCTTTCAGAAAAAGTGCTATCAATATAAATCGAAATAAAATTCTAGTAGAAAGTTGTTCACAGGTAAAAAAAAAAATAAAAATAAAAATAAACACCATTGTAAAACCAATACACTCCTCACTCTGTTCAGTTTGCTCAGAATCTAAAATAGTCAATAAAAATAACGAGGTACCCCGGCACTGGCAACAAGAATCTCGGGATATAAATTATCATAATACCGGTGTAATGTCATATTATATTAACGATCCGTATAAATCTCTTTGGTCGTGAATTTTCGATAATTAAACGCCGAAAGTTCATTCATACGCTATACTTGCGAAATTTCAAGTTTAAAGCCTACGTAATGTATAATTATAATCACACGAATTGACCGTGTAATTTCCGATCACATAATAACGTTCAATTATAGACTAAAATAACAAAATCTTCTGATCGGCTCTTTGCTCGCTTATGATCATGCCCCAGATTGCAATTCAAAATACATATTTTTTTCTTCTGGGCAATTAATATATTCCAATACATAATTCAATTCTTGTAACAGATACTTCAAATACTTTAATACTTAAATTTCAAGTAACTTTTATTTTGAATTTCCGCAATTTTTTAATTTTTATAGTTTTTTACTTTTAAGATTTTTGAGTATTGTGTTTTTGAGTGAAATTTTTTCGCCAAACATTTTTTTTTTTAATGGCTTTCCGTTTTTTTTTTATATGTATTTTCAATAATTTTCAATGAATCCAAATCTTATTTATCACAAATTTATAATTTCGATAACGTCATTTCATTGAATATAATTTAAGGTCTATGGTCCAAACCTACTAACAAGGAGCAAGGAATTTGTAATTTTAAGTGTAAATTAAATACCTATTAGGTGAAAATCTATGACAGATTTATAGACAATGTCAAAAAACACAACAAATAAATTTGATCTATGGTCTCCTGTCCGGAGAGACATTGATTGCTCCTCGTCGATGCATCGATTTACCACAAAAACTTAGGCAGCTAAGTTTGGTAACAGATCAACTAATCAGAGGATTCAAATTTCTTCTGTTACTTGTTTCAAGTACGAAAGGTTAATACGTTACTCGCAATGCAACTCTCAAATGCGAATTCCTTCTCTTCCTGGCTGAATATTAGTGTTATGATTGTAGTAATTGGTCGAATAGGAACCAACGTACCTTTATCCCGCTAGATCAATACCTATTGTCTATTACTTATCTATGATCTCGGAATAACGATTATAAAGTAGTGTGATACTCATACATTTTGTAACCTTATTAAATAAAACGAAAACGAGTTCGGGTGACTTTTGAAGACGAATAAAGACGGTTTTATCCCGCGCAGAAAATTTGTTTTGAAAAAAAGTTTTCTTAAAATTCGATTTTTTGCGTATTCAACGACGTTTTTAAATGCCGTCGTCATAAATTACCAGTAAAAAAAAAAAAAATACGGATATTTTGCGCACGATGGGTGAGAATTTATAAAGGTTGGACGTAGAAGGCAATTTAATACATATTTGTATGCAACGATTAATCTTTGATAACTTCGAAATTCCGATCGGAGCTCGTTTATACATGTTTCTAATATTTAACGTTTGAAAATAATACGTTATGTAAATATCACGTTTTTCCCTAAATGTTTTCTTATTTATTGAGGAAATCCCTATGAAAAATCAAAAAAAGCCCGACTTTAAAGTGAAATATTTTAGAAAAATGTAACAATATTTCTGGTAGAAAAGCTGTTTGTAGAAAGAAAAACGAAAAGAAAATGACGATCATTGTAAAACTAATACATTATTCGCTTCACTCAGAAACTAAAATGAGTTTCGATCTACACTTCTTGGAAACTTGTACCGATTCAATACAATTTCGGTACCTATACACGATTATGTTGTTTAATAATACTCTCGACGTCACGACGTCAAAAACATTGTTTCTAATATATTTTATTTCTGTTACGTATTACATCCATGCAACGTGTCTGAAACTAAATTCAAAGTTTATCTTTCCGGAAGGGAAACACTCAAAAGTTGTGCAACGCGCAAGACACAGACTAGCGAGAACATTATTATAGTTACACTAAGCGCCAGTGTATATAATAATGTTATGATGCCTCTTAAAGCTCTATAAATTTGTATAGGTGGCGTATTATTAATTACTTATTTCCAAATGTCGTTCCGGTACCCTGCGTGCGATGAACAGAGTATATTATGACTTTTGTTTGAAATCGGCGCAGACGGTTAATTGAATTCGCCGGTCGTTCGGGTGATGATACAACGCGATTAAAAGAATCGTAATGGTTTTACTAATGTGTGTGTGTGTGTGTGTCCACGACCAATTTTCCGTTGACGAAACTTCTTTCATACCGTATCTGAAAAGACACAAAACGGTCGAAAACTTCTTGAAACAAGTAATTAAAAACGTCAATTTCTACGTTGAAACTTAGATTTTGCATCTTTATTGACTTCTGGGTTTTCTTTGTGACGAGTTAATAAGTCAAAAAGAACGGAATAACTGCTTTTATATTTCGATAAATTAGTTAGTTAAACGATTTAGTCCACCACTGGTGCTTATGAATTAAGTCTGAAGTAGGAAAGGTGCACAGATATTAAAATGTAAAAATCCCCCATCCAAAAATAATCTTAAACAGACGTCCAAAAAAAATATTCATATTTTTAGATTTCTGACGCATCGAGGTATTGGTTTTACCAATGGTTTAACCAATTATTCCATAAGAAATGTTAATCCGATTTTTAAGTAAAGCATCTTTTTCTTAAAAAAAATTACAACTAGTTTTTATATTATCAGAAAGGTAATTTTATGATTAACTTTGTAGCCATCGGGTAAAAAAACGAAGGATAAATGTGAACTAAACTATTATACGGTCAGTTCTAGACGTAATCAATTTTGGACCCCTTATACGATTTGATAAGTTTAATTTTCATTTGGTTTAATGTAGATTAATTCGCTCGGCAAAAATGCTTGACGATTTTACGCGTTGAAAAATTAATTTGGTTGTTAAAAATAATATTTGGGTGTAATATTGTAGTTTTTTCGTAAAATAATTTTATATTCAAATTTTAACGAACATCGTAAAAATTTCGAAACACGTTTAACCTGATTTTGATCAGATTGGTTTTTCGATAGACATGATTTATCATTATATATATATAAATATATAAATTTAAGAACCCAGTGTATTCCGAATATTTATCTTCACTAATAGCCCACCCGTCAACAATATCGTTTTTTTTTTTTGTTTATACCTAACGAATAATAAAAATAAGGTTAGGTGATATTTATAATCCATATTGTTCACGTACGACCGAATAATTAACACAATGCTTTTGCCTAGTGTAATTGATAGTTGAAATATCGAACGCTTTTTATAAATGCGTTTGCACTTCCCTTATTTCAGTATAAATATTATAGATATCTACGGTGGTTTGTGAGGAGGAGCGATTCGCATATTGTTTGCCCCATAACAACGCTACTGATATCCATTCGGAATCGATTTTCGTTGGCCATGAATCCGTGATTCGCCCAGTCAGACTTATTTTTAAATTTTTTTTTTTTTTCACAGATTTTTTGGTGGCTGTGGTTTTGCGTTTTTTATGTTTCGCAGTCGTCTTCGTTGTCGGCTACCGGTAGCCTGTTACACCGCAGGCCCGTCGACCCGCTGGAGATAGCGCTCCAGAGCAGAGGGCGCGTGCTCATGGGGTCCCAACAGCCGCATCAACAGCAGAGGAGACCGGATCGACCGCCTCCGGCCGAGGGAAACACCGTCAACAACAACGGACAGATCGGCAGTCAGTTCGGCGGACCGGCGGCTGGCGACCAGGACTCGTCCGGAACGGTGGGTCTGAACGTCGGGCTAGGGATCGGACTGGACACGCCGTTCATTGACACGCTGCTGGAGCGTCTGCTTAGACGCAAGCAGCTCCTATTGGCCGCTGCCGCGGCGTCCGGCTATGCGGGCTTGGGCGCGGGCTTCGCGGGCTACGGAGGAGCCGGTTATTACCCGGGCCCGGCCCTGTACCCGTACGCCGGCGCCGGCATAGGCGGCCCCTGGAACAGACCCGGAGCCTATCCTTATTCCCCGTACGTGCCGCCGATCAGTCCGTACGGCGGCGGCGGTTGGAACCCGTACGGCAGTGGCTACAACCCCATGTACGATTACGACAACGATTTCACGTGGAAAAACAACAACAACAACAACGCCAACAGTCGGTAACCGTCGGCAGTTTCGACGTTGACATTTCGTTTTCACGTAGTGCACGAGCCACGTGAAACGTTGCCAAACGTCCGTGGGTCCGGGATTTAATGCGCTCGAACCTAAAACCGTTAAAAGAATAGGTCCATTTAATAATATCCTCATAAAAAAAAAAACAGCGGGGGGGGGGAAATTTAAATAATAGCGAACAAAACGACAAGTATAGATAGCAAAAAAAAAAAAATTAACCGATACGAGTTCGACATTAGGCAAGTATTTTACAACACCGGGCCACTAAGGCGAACGGATCCGAATTTTAAAGGAACGTATTCGAATTGGCTACCGAGCTTATACCCGAAATTCCGATTAGGTTCCCGATTGTAAAAGGTATTTTACGAGGGTCAGCCGAATTCGTACCCGTTTTAATACTTCCATTTATACTGTAAACACAATCAATGCGGGTACAAAGTAGTACCTTTTTAAACTTTTATTTAACTTTTATCATACCACGGCGGGTATTTTACCATTATCAAGGTAATAATAATAATATTACGATCGACGTACAGCCAAAATACCGTAATTGATTAAGATAAAGTCAATCCATCCTGATATACGCATCTGTATGGCTATATTGGATGTACCGTTTGTGAAATACAGATGTTTTTCTTGCGTAAAATCTAATTGATTCCGAGTTGACATTCCTAAGTCTGTAGGAACGGAAAGAAAAAACGTGCGTGTTTGGCTATCTTACTGCGAACAGCGGGAACTAATTCACCCGGTAGCGGATACATCAGAAATTTAATCAGAAACCGATCGGTTTGCCTTCATAAAATACCTTTACACAAAAGGCAACCAATTCGGGATACACTCTTTTTAATTACCTATTTTTTTTTTTTTTTTTTTTAATTTTAATTTGACAGTATCTGCGCGACAAAAAAAACCCGCCGTTTTTAAATTGCATAACATTCGAAATCGCTTCGATATCCCCCGAACCTTAGACGTACGTGCCTTAAAATTATAATATAAAAATTACAGTGTACTATAGTTATTAATGAACATTATAAATATATTTTATGATTTTTTAATACGATTTACGATTTTTTTTTTCTTGATTTATTTGTGTATCGTGTACGAAAGTATTTTATAATAGTCGCAATAACGATCCGATAATATTATCGTCCGCTTTTAACGTTTTTTTAAAAAAAAAAATGAAAAAAGTACATTTTAACAACAATCGGTCTCGTCGTTCAACATAATAATATTTGGGCGATATCCGCGTTCGTTGCGTATTGTTTCTGCCGCTATGAACGCGATTTGAACACGAAAAAAAAAACGTATTTGTCGATCGGCGTAAAGTTTATAAATATCCGGTTTAACGAATACACAGTAAGTTACATAGTTATACCGTACTTGCGTAACAGAAAAAAAAAAAAACGGAAAAAGATTGTACGTATACCGTTTTTTTATTCCTCGGACGATTCCTAAGGCAATATTATTTCTTTTTATACATATATATATATACATTATATATGTTTTCTATATATATATATATATATATAAATAATTTGTTACTACGTAACGGATGAAGATACTTGAAAAGTGAAACATGTATTTGTTATTAATTCGCGTTTTTTCGTTAGTTTACCAGCGCGTTTTTCGGCCGTGCAGTTAGTTTTAAGCGCACAGTTATAAACTATACGAACTCGGGGTAATTTATAATATTATCTCGAGAAATGCCGTTTCAGCGTTCGCTTTAATAGGTTATAAGAACACTTATAGTACAACGTCGAGAGATATAGATTGTTAATAAATCTATTCGTGATTGCGTCTCATATATTTTATTACCGGCCGTAATGTATCAATTTATTTTTTTCTGCAATATTTATCGTTTTTTTTTTTTAAATTTTTAATGCATTTTCAGTTGTATTTTCGTAATATTTCACTAAATGACGTGTTTTTGAATATTTTTTTTTTTTTTTTTTTTTTAGAGTCTGTCTGTGATTTTAACCTTTTATTATCGCCCGGAATAGTGTTTGCGGTCGAATACGATTTCGAACATCACGACAACTTTGACTATATCATTATTATTAGTAAACAAAACAAATAATACGATATTTTTCAGAGGGAGATGAAAATAATAACATTTTCTAGTTGGTATTCTTGTATTATATTCGTATAATAATATATTATACGCACGTTTTTGTGTTTTTGTATAATTCGAAGGGATTTTGTTAAGGTCGTATAGTTTCGTCCCCGGCGCGTAATTTAAATAAATTCTGACAAAGAATCCTAATATTTTCTCCTTCGAGGTAATCAATTTTAATATAAAATAATTCGTTTTTTCTTTCATAAAATATAAAAAAAAAAAAAACACATGATTAATTATTTACCATTTAAGCGTTATTACGGTTATGTTCTAAAAACCCGATAAATTCGACATTCAGCACACTCAGAGTATTTATTCGACTATTTTTAAATAATGGAACACTGAACGTTTAATTTTAAATTTCAATTTTTTTTTTCTTGCTAGAAATATTATTACCATTTCTAACGAAATTTGACTTGATACACGATGCAAATGAAAATACGAAAACTACTTTACATTATGAGGAAAACTGGTAATTTTATCGTGTACTTAAATTATAGAAACAGTATTATAATACAATTGGAACAGCGGTACATAATATTATTTTAACTAGACGTTGTCGTGCGTTAAAATGTCTGTTTGAAAATAATACGACGTGTAAAATCTAGAACACACCTACGTGCCATGGGTTTGTTTACAGCACAACGAACAAACGCAGGTTTAATAACAAAATTAACACGAAATAAAAATGAAATTAATACGAAAATTCAAAAACGCTCACAGTTTTAAAAATGTAATAAAACATACAAATCAGATACAAATTAGTAACACCTTTGTTGCAGCCCGAGTCTTCCATATCCAAATTCTCATAAGTCTTTTGACCTATAGTGACCGAGTCATGTCTGTAGCATTCCCATTTTCTCCTGTGAGGTTTCTGTCACTGTAGGCGATCGGATATCTGCAGTGTTTCAATAGATGACCCTATTATTTATAATCTTCGCCTCAATCGCATATCTCTGAAGAGTCATCTAATTAATCTCACCATTTTAGTGAGATTAATTATATACGTCTATTTTCGTGTTCAAGTGCAAGGGATTCCGTTGACACAACCACGCCTACAGTAAACGATCTTGCCGCAGTGAAAAAAGTCTCTAAACCAAAATCAGTGAAAAAATGACCATAGAAAATATGACCCGACAAAAAAAAAACGGCCAAAATTAAAAATGACCCGAGGAAAATTACGGTCTTCGTGGAAAAAATATGAAATTGTCTTATGACTGTTAAACTGTGTTCGACACTTATATTATAATATTAAGTGATGTTCATGATACGAGTACATGCGGTACAATGATAATATATTTTATACTCGTTTGCCATAATGGTCAAATATAAAAATGGCTATGGACAAAATATCCGATTTAATCATCGAGCATTATTGTATTTAGTTATATTTTCTTCTGTCCATTTTGGTACACAGATATTTTTCCACGGCCGATTTTCATTTTACCATATAATTACCAACTGACTGCCGTACATAGACAAGATGTTCGAGAATAGATAGCCAAGTTTTAATGGGAATGTCATTGGGTATTTGTTCTTGACAGTTGAAACATAATAGGACCGATCTAACATTATTTCGTGAGTTGCAGTCTGTACGTCGTACCGTATGAGTAAAAAATATTTTTGCTACGTTCCATAACTTTTTTGTATCGATATTTTCGTAAATTATTAAAATTAAAATATTATAATATAGTGACTAGTTTTCAGACTTTTCAAACTCCTGTATCAACTCCGAAGAAAGTTTTAACGGTGTTCGGCATTTGAGAAATATTCAAATATAGTTTGAGGTAAAAATCAATATTTTTTTTTTTTTTTGTTTCTCGATTTTGAGTGGAGAAAAGAATGTATTCGGATATGTAATTTTATGCTTGTTTATATATATATATATATATTAATAGTTCTTAACCAGAACATTTTCTCGTATACGAAAACTACTTTTAGAAGTTTTCTGTCGGAATTTCGGATCTAGTCGGTACGATAAAAATGTAATTTTTTAATATTCCCTCTGAACTTTTCTTATATTAATTCTTTCGAGTTATTTGTAAGCTGTATTTGTTTATCTTTTTTTTTCCAATTCATTAATGGATATCATTTTTTTACTCATGTTTTATCTTTAATCGTTTTAAAAACCATTTAAAGAGTCGTCGGTAACCTATTTAGAATATATGAATTTCGTGTAATACTATCAAGACTCGGTTCATTATACGAAGTCCACGAAAAGTCCACGAATCCTACACGTAAAACCGAGTGAAATTGTATAATTCGTATTTAAAATTGTAATATTCAACTTTGACCAAAACAAGTGGAAATCCTGAAAAATCATAAAACGTTTTAGTTTTTAACTGTTTCTATGGCCACGTATGACTCTTTGTATTTTCATGTCATTATTTTAAATTCTTCGTCGTCTTTTACTCTTATAGTAATTTCGGATGATAACTCAATAAACGATAACAGTTAACTCTTCTAATCTTTTATTATTTTAAGATCATTTATTGCAGTATAAACTAAGTATATAAGGCCAAGTCCGTCGATTAAGCCTCGAAACCATGTTAGCTTTTCCCATTTTTTTAATAGCTTTAATTTTTAAACCTTCATTATTTGTGATTAAACTCCGCTCTCAATTTAAACTCCACAGGTTTTATAAGTTGTGAATAACCTAATTGTTCTGGCGATGCGTGAGTATCGTCCAACCATAAATCCTCCAACCAAAAAAATTTTAGACGAACCCACGTAACAAATATTTACGAATTTTTTTTTCTTTGTAATGATTGTAATTTTAGTGCGTTTTTGGGTCACAGTGCACCCAGTTTTCTAAAATGTTAATTCCCATCGAGAGTCGTTGTAGTCGTTGAAGTCAACTTTAATCAGATAAATGCGATTACGAACAATAAATTACTGCGGGTCGATGTGTATTTATATAATAATGTTTATATTTTAGTGAACAGAAAAGATAGGTTTGAACGACAAAACTTTAGACGTAACAAATTTCCCATTTTCAAAAAAATAAAAACAAAAATTAATATCAAATTCTTTTCTAGATAACTCTGGGAAATTTCTTTCGGCGTCTTAAATCGCTGATTTTATATGTATATATATATTTTTTTAAAATGAACGTTAAACAACAGCGATTAAGTTAGCTCGTTAGTCGGAAAAAGAAATTTTCGAAAGAACGTGGACAACATTTTGACCCAAGCCACTCGTAGTTAAGACACTCGAAATTCAAAAAGCGATCGGCTACAATTCTCGTTGGAAAAAAATTTATCCGTAAAAACCGTACGATAATGGAGTGAACGTCTTTGTGCAGTTCGTAAGTGGCAAATCGCTTAATCCGCCACTGATGACGGGCGTACGACTAGTCGACGATAATAATAGTAATAAAAAAAACCCCGTTCGATTTGAATTCAGCGACTAACGTTCCTATCGGTAAGTGTTTATTCGCCGTAGTTTACGGCGCTTTTCTCTACAAGTTTTCAGATCGAACGACCGCGACGACGACGACGACGACGACAAACCTTTTCTAAAAACGCGGCGGTGATTACCTACCGGCAACGGCCGCACGTAAAACGAAAACGATTTTTTAGCGGCGCTAACAAAAGCGAACGCTCATTTGGTTTTTTTTTTTTTTTTTACTCGTCATTTATACGCGTCAATGCGCAACGTAACGGCATCGATCATTGTTTCCGTCGGTTTACCGAAAGTAAGTGCATGTTATTACTGTACAGGTATATATAATATTTAATTGTTTTGTTTTCCCGGCGACGCGAAAAACGAATACAACAACATTCGTCCGCGGAAAATATTATAACGCATTAGAGAAAAAAAAAAGAAAACGTTTTCATAATTAAAATTTATTATCCTACGGCGCATATGTTAAGTTTTTGTTGACGAGACAAAAACAAAAAAAAAAAAACCGCCCAAAAGAATAATAATGTAACGATAGTATATATTATAATAATAACAATACGAATTATAAAAAAACAAATAAAAGTTTAAAAAATAGTTTTTTTTTTTTAAATATTATATAGATATTATATTTACACCTTTGTGCGATTGTGGTCCCATAAATACGGCCGACGATGATTTTTTATTACATTTTTTTTTTTTTTTTTAAATTTCTAATTTTTTTCTCGGCAATAGCTTAGTCGTCTGGAAAAGTTATTTCCCGTCATCGTACGCAACAATTGTATCAATCCGTTTTTGAACAAACCCAACGACGACACCATGAAGAAATCAATTACCGTAGGGCGAAAGTTTACGAAGCTATCGGTCATTTTCATAGTCTTTCTACAAGTAAGAAAATTGGAAATCGATAATATAATTATAATCTCATAATATAACCAGATTATAATGTACAGAGCGATTTGAATACGATAAAGATCTCGTAGATGAAATTCGGTTGGAGGGGAATTTCTATTCAGTTTGTTCATTTCATAATCGTTTAATATCAATTTTAGACGCGGAATTCTGCTCGGTTGTACATTATTTGAAAGATTTATCCACATTTTTAACAATTCATCTTTTAGTTATTGTATTTTCCTTTCTCGGAAAAAATTTTGTCGGTTAGTAAGAATATTCCGAATAATTTTACCCATCGTACATTTAATAATGCACACGTGTTCCCAGGTATACAAGTTCTTTATTTCAAAAAAATGTCTCTGTCTCCAAACGTTTTCCGACACGATTTAGAAAGACTTTCCACAAAATGTCAATAAATCGGTTTTATTTCTGTTGATTTCTTGCTTGCCTTCGTTATCTTTTGGTGCAAAAAATAAAACACGACACTGTATTACACCACTCCGCTCATAATCGTTTTTATGTTTACAATAATAATTTATCATTGCATATTGTATACGAACTCAATTACCTTGTATATACTCTATATTCCCCAGTTATCCATCTATATCTACAACAATGGCTTACCAATGAGCAGTATTATTATAACCTTTTTCAATTTTGACGTCACAATTTACGTTTGGAATTAAAGTATTTTTCAAATTTTAATTTATACGTAGGATTTTTATTTTTGTCATATTTACTACGCGTATAATTTTAAATACTTTGAAATATAAAAAAAAAAGTTATAATATTTAAATTAAGAATATTTTAATAGAAAAAAAAAATAGATGTCAAGTCATTGTTCCGAGTAAATTTTTGTAAAACGTATTTAACAAAGCGTAACGTGCGTTTTTCCAGGTATTGTGCGTCACGTGCAAATATGAGGGCACGGACCAAGAAGAGTCGTACTTGGCGGAGCAGGTCGTCCGGCATCGGGAGGAGATTGCCAGACAAATGTTCAACGGTAAGCGTCTGGACAAGATGTCGAAAACGTTGGGAATTGTTCCGCTAGAAATAGGGGACATGGTGCCGGAAGCAGACGGGGCAGTTGAGCCGGAAGAAGTGAAACGGAGATCCGAAGATGTCGAGGACGTTGAGAGCGAGCAATACCATAGCTCAAAGATGACGGCCGAAAAGGAGGCGTATTTTAACGAGAGCTGATTCGGAGAAAAAAAAAACAGCGGGAAATAGTCCCGAATATACTTTTTTTTGATACACTCGATATAATATAATATGTATGAATGTAAAATATTAAAGAGGATAGAACGTTTTTTTTTTCTTTCTGTTCTCCATCTCCACGCGATACGGCGGGAATTTCGTTTACCTCTTCGGATCTTCGGTCCTATTGAACACAAGAATATTATATTCGCTATCGTTGTGCCTCGAATATCATTCCCAGTAACGACCCCCATACACGATCGATTCGTGTAGGGGGGTTGGTTTTCTCTTTTTTTTTTTTTTTTGTGGCCTTTGTACGACGGAAGAAAAAATAAAATAAATTATACGCTCGTCGAAGAATCATGATTTATGACGTTCATTTTATAAGGTAAATGGTCCGCGAGCGTTTAATTTGCACGGAACAACACTGTTCTCCAAGGTAAAAAGAAATTATATTATATTACGCCGCGACCGAAAACAATATTATAGGAACTGGAGTGCGTTCAATAATTATCAGGGCTCGGTTCAAAAACGGACAAATCTTGCACGAAAAAGAATCCAAAATGTCCACAAATCCCACGATAATAATAAAAAAACTGTTTGAAACCTACCCCTGGAAAAAAAACTGTGCAAGTCGTTTTTCTCGAGTGTTCAGGATGATTGACGAAGGAAAGTTTGAGAAATCTGTCTCGTCGATTACGGACTGTGATCAGTCTTTAGACCGTAACAATGGTATACAAACTAATCGAATCATTTTATGACAAAATTATCATTAAACATCGGTATCGTGCCATAAACGCGCCCAGAACTCGGCGTATGCAACTTTCAGGTTATTTTACACGAAAAACAAAAAAAAAAATTTCTCAAAAATTGACCAGGGCCCTGCAGCCTGGCACCGAGTATAAAAAAAAAAAAATAACAGTCGGACACAAACAGGCACATGCGGATATATGTTTAAATGTTTTTAAGTTTTAACTAAAACGCGACGGAAAACCGATTGGCGTACGACACTGACTAATAGTATAAATTGTTTTTTATACGCAAAACCCTACATGGAAATCAAAACCCAATCGATTTTGTTCTTCTACTGATGTTAACGGGTAATATACGCTTGAAAATCCAACGAGAATGTTATTTGGATCTAAATCCTAAGGACCACTATTGGATCCTTTATCGTTCGTCCGAAATGTTTTCGCCGCACAAATCGCATTATATTTACATTATAGAGATTTCGGTTTTATTGTAATTATTATTATTTTGTGACTCCGTTTAAAACCGTTATTGAAACGGAGCGTCTGGCTTGCGGATGCCATGCGTGTTGGTTTTCCGATCGTATGTTATTTACGCGCACGCGCACGTTTCGAGCGGCACAGTTTTCCACAAATGAGAGATATTTTATCTTTTCTTCGGATCAACGGCCCCGAAACCGTTTTCGTTTCGTCCCGGAATAGGCCTTACATAATACGCTGCGGCGACCCTTCGCCGTTGTAGATCTAAAGGTACGGGGATTCGCATTAATCCGGTCCGAGTGAATCGCGGTATGCGATTATAGAACCTAATGTCCGAATCGGTCGGCCATAATATTGTGTTACACAGTATAATATACCTGAGTACGGGCTTTTGTAATTGCCATATACGAAATTCTCAACGCCGAACGGGAAGGTTTTCAACAGTTTTCCGCGTTAATGCGCATTTTTATCGAATCATTTTCACTATCGAACGAGGTCAACGTCTACGTCTGGTATTATTTTTCAAATAATACTTTTTTTTTTTAATTCTATGTACATTAATAAACCTACAGACATTATTATTAGGGTTTTTCCAAATAGAAATATAGATTAAAAATAACATGAAAAAAAAGGACGGACATACTTCGCGCGTGAGTGCAGTTTGCAGCCAGTGTTGGAAAGTTTAGAAGGCAGGATACAGACAGAATTTAATGTATACCTGAAATCAACGATAAACCACTGCTAAGAAAAAAACAATTCTGAGCGGAGTTCATTTGATAGTGTTGCTTTGCCATCAATATTACATGCCATATAAATTATGGTAAAATGATTAAAACAATTTGCGTTTTTACAACAAAAATGGTTGTTTTAAAACAGATTATGTAAAAATAGAAATAAAAACGGTTACCAATCACAACCTTATTATTAAACTTTTCATTTTGTTTAACCTTAAGAACCAGATTTTCCTCGTTATCTCGAAAATTAATGAGAATAACAAAAAATGGCCTCTTTATAGTATCACCCAGAGAACATTTCCTTTCAGAAAAAATTCTATACTTGATAATCGGAGTTATCTTTCTGGTAGAAAAAGTGTTCACATAAACAAACATTGTTTTAAAAATAAACTTCTTTGTAAAACCAATACATTCTTCGCCAAACTCAGAATCTAAAATTATTCATTTTAATTTAATTAAATAAAATAATTATTAATCCTTTGATACCTACTTTTATTTTCGTTGCCCTGTGTTTTTTTCATTGTTATGGTTCGATACCGATTCATAACGCAGTTAGCTCAAAAACACTGGTTAGGGGGGTAGTCCATAACAAATATAATACCCGGGGCTGTGTGTCTATATCGGATCATTCTTCGGGTGGTCGAAGGGGGATAAGCCCCTCCATAATCACTCCGCTGATATCGGTCATCATCCATCTGTTATAACATGGGCCTAACTTTGGCTATTTTTCACATATCAAAAAGTAATATTACTGTCTGGATAAATAGAAGTCGTAGATTTGATGTGAATTTTGATTTACCGATAATAATTTTAACTTGTCGAGATTAGAATACCGTATTATTATTAACACAGTGATTCATGCGAAACATTTTATCGCGTTCCAATTAATTCGAGAAATGGCCACTTATGAGCCGGGCCGTTCGGCATTTATACGATTGCCCTGCGGGTCATTCCGACTCTGTGACCACATGCGTTCAAAAAAGTTTCACTTTGATAACGGGTAGAAGTTGTTTTTTTTTATAATTTTCGGAGTCGGAAAAAGGTACGTTTGTGCGCCGGCATCCACCCATTACGCCATTGTTATTTTTTCTCTTTTTACCGTGTTGTTGTTGTTATTTTTTATTATGTTTACTGCTGTTACATTAGCTCGTTATTTTCAGTTGATAAATCTGACTGGCGAGCACAAACTCGCGAACAGTGTTCACTAGCCGTTATTATCGTGACATTTCTCCTCGTTACGGCAATAGCTGCCCAAACGGCGTGTTTCTTTTGCCCAGAGAATCGCTGCAAAATATTTAAATTATTTCCGATGTTACGCACTAAAAAATATAAATGTGTACATTTCCGTTGTTAAATAAAATATCGAAAAGACAATGTAATAATTTAAGGTGATAAAAGTGCAAAATACAATATTCATGTATAGTTAATTGAAACGGGGTTGGTGAGTATATCGTGACGTTTGAAATAATCTAGTGTAATACAAGAACAAACATTTCTCATCTCTGAAAACAGAGTACTTTATAATTTGTTAAAACTGTGGCAACATTATATTCCGATTGATTAAAGCTTATCGAGAGGATTCGAAAGGGATATTCTCTTTCTAATTTTTGAACACATACGATTCGAGCAATCCAGATAGATTATTTTCTGTCATAGATTCGAGATTAGCGTGAAGTGTACGTAAGACTTATATCACTTCACTAATAATTTTGAAAACCGAAAAATGACGAAAAATAAACAACGACCTACGATTTCATTATTTTAAATTTATACGCCTTGTGTTTTTAACATAAATAAGAATCCAATTCGAAAATGACAAAAGACCTTTTGTGTTGATTTTTAATTTAGATGGTATTTGAGAAAAATGGTTTTTGATTTTCACTGTAGTGTTATTAATAAAAAAAAACAAAACCGAAAAAACGTATAAAGAACATGATAATTTATATAAATGAACACTACATTATTTTATGTTGTTACAATTAAGATAAAAGTATTTGTAGAGAACTGAAATTTCGACGAAAACCTAAAAATTTGAACCATTATTTTTTAGCAAGCTCGTATTTATTGATATTTTGATTTTGTAAGTTTTTCGCGTTATTTTTATTTTTATTTATTACTCTGTGCATAAAATTGTTAGACCAAACAGAAATGCTCGAAAATTTAGCTTCACATAGTGATCAAAAAAAAAAAAAAATAATCAAAGGTAACTTAGTATTTTTATAAGGGTTTTAAAATAACATTTTGACGAAAATTGTAATTTTAACTGACTTTCAAATCATGTATTTCTGAACTTCACTTCATCGACGGCGCACAGACAATTAGACCGACAGACAGGGAGTTCGGTCCCAATAAATGTCTTATATCAGCGTACGCGTTAGACGGAGAAAGAAAATCGTTAAACAACATTCACAGGAAATGCACAAAAGATAAATGAGTAATAAAAAACAAAAAAAAAAAAAGTTTGACTGGATGGGGATGTGAAACTCTCAACCTCGCATCCGCGAGAACGCTCACTGAAACGTGTGTAAAAAAACAGGAAATTATTTTATTAAAATACAGGTATTTATCGGCAATAAAGCATCGATTTTTTTTACTACTGGAAACGCGAGTTTTTAAAAAATAATTTTATCGGGATTAATTTGATATTTTTTTTTTATTATTATTATTGATAATTATAAATGTATACCATAATTTTTGATGTTAATCTAAAATACTACAAAGTTCTGGGTAATAATAATAAAAAGGCTAATTGCAATGTTTTCAATATTTTATACGAGTATTACGAGTTATTATTAATTTTTAATCATACAAAATAAATTTATAAAAATTGTAAAAAAAAAAAAATTCTGTAGATCAAACGATTTTTCTTTCGTTTCATTTGAATTAATAAATTGAGTCTAGTTGCGTACCCAAACGCAACTAATATTGCACGTTAAAACCGAAATTAATATGGAAAAAAAAAATGATATTTGTCGGCGTTTTTCGATTTTTTTATTTTTTTTTTTAGCTACTTAAAACCGAGTTTCAAAACTCTATAAAGTACTTTGCGTTTCGAGTTCATTTCCATCAATAATATGTTGCCATTATATTTATAGGGAAAAAAAAAAAAAAAAAAACGATAATACGAATTCTCATTTTAATTTTTAAAACG